GAGTGAAGGTTGAGTATAGATTAAACCAGGTCGAAGTTGGGACTTCGACCATCTACCAACTGCAGTATATATACACGAGAGACCTAGGGCGTCTCTAGGGTTCAGGGCAGGGTCACCGAGGTTGAGCTCAGTGTGGGGCCAATAGGAGAAACACAGGGGAAAGGTAGGGAGAACCCTAGGGGTCATGGGAAGGGGGTGAGTCAGAGTCCGGAGGAATGAGTCATGGGAAGGGTGAGGGATATAGCGGATGGCGAATGGGAAGCGTCCTAGGTGCGTACCGCCCCAGTCCCTGTCTAAGTATAGTACAGACCGGGCCGGGAGAGGATCCGGTCGAGCAGAGACATCATGTGATAGAAAATGGATAAGGGCGTACCCCGACGCTTGTAACAAAGATGTTCACCTTCTACCAGAAGGCAACTGGCTCGCAATCACGCATAGACAGAATATATGTGACACCGAAAATCTGCCAGACAGCTAGGGACTGGGATGTCAAGCCCTCAGGCATTCCAAACACAGACCACATGATGATATCAGTCAACATAACATCAGATGACGCACCATGGATGGGCACGGGGAGAAGAACAATCCCAATGTATGTCCTCAAGGACAAGCAAATGACAAAATATATTGAGGAAAGAATACAGTCCGCAATGCGAGACCTGGAAGAGATAGAGGGATGGCGCACGGAGAAAGATAACCCGCAGCGCATCCTCCACTCCCTAAAAATGGATATAAGAGCAGAGGCAATCAAAAGACAGAAGAAAATGATACCAATACTGGTAAAAGATATAAAAAGCACAGCAACAGCACTAAAAGAAGTGCTAGGAGACCCATCCTCAGGGGAAACCACCCAGAAAATGGAAGCAGCAAAGCTGACCGAGAGGCTAACAATGCTCGAGAACAAACGGCACGCACAGAAACGCACAGAAACTAAGCTAAAGAACAGGCTGGAAGGAGAGACACTCTGTAAGAGCTGGTGCAGCCTGGGACGGGAGAAAAAACCAAGAGACCTGATATATGCGCTCAAAAAGCGCGAACAAAACGGGCCATGTAGAAATAACGGTGAACCGAAGTATGAGAAGAACTCAGAAAAAATGGCGAGCCTGGCCAGAGACTATCATGAAGACCTACAGAATCAAGGACTGGAGGATGACATGGATAAACAAACGGCATGCAAGATCGAAGCACTGAGCCACATAACGACGCAGCCAACCCCAATGCAGAGAGAAGTGCTGAGGTCACTAATCAGCTGCGAAGAAATCAAACAAGCGCTAAAGCACTCAAAGAAAGACAGCCCATGATACAACAAGTGAGCACTAAATCCCAGACCAAAGACGAACAGGAAGAGGATGAACAGAAAGATGCCCTATACCTGATGGCAAAAGCATTCAATGACATACAACAACATGGAGTAGACAAAACAACGAACTTCGCTGAGGGATGGATGTGCCCGATCTTTAAGAAGAAGGATAGGACAGACATTGCAAACTATCGGCCAATAACACTACTAAATACAGACTACAAGCTGTACACGAAAACACTCACAGCCCAGCTAGCACTAGCGGCGCCAGACTTAATACACAAAGCACAAGCCGGGTTCATACCAGGCCGACAAATCAGCGACCACACACAACTCACCCACATGATCATGGAATATGCGGCAATGGCAGACCCCAGCGAGGACGCAGATGGCATGATAGTAGCCCTAGATCAGGAAAAAGCATACGACAAAATATCACACCCATACCTATGGGAGACGCTACAAAAGTTTGGAATACCAGAAAGCTTCATCAATTCAGTACGCACGTTATACGAAAATGCGGAGACAAGAGTAATGATTAATGGCTTCATGAGCAAACCATACACAATAACGAGAGGAGTCCGACAGGGAGACCCCCTCTCATGTCTACTGTTCGACCTGGCAATAGAACCATTAGCGGCAATGCTAAGAGACTCCAACCTCAAAGGTTACAACATACCTGGAGCAACAGAACGCCTAATCGCAATGCTGTTCGCAGACGACACCACAACCTTCCTACACAAAACAGACAGGATGGAGGACCTAGTAAGACTCCTAGACACATGGTGCACTGCATCAGGCGCAAAGTTCAACAAAGATAAAACTGAAATTATACCAGTTGGAACACCAGAATACAGAACACACCTCATAGAGACACGACGAACCATGCCAAATGCAGATCCAATACTGGACCACATACGCATAGCCCAAGACGGGGAGGCGACAAGAATCCTGGGGGCATGGCACGGAAACAATGTAGACGAAGCGGGAGTATGGACACCGATAATGGAAAAAATTGACGCGACCCTAGCAAGGTGGGAAGCCAGACACCCAACAATGGAAGGGCGAAAGCATATAGTACATATGCACATAGGTGGCGCCACCCAATACCTAGCCAAAGTACAGGGAATGCCAAAAAGCGTCGAGAGAATGCTCGAAAAAAGATACGCACCTTCATATGGGCAGAAAAACAAATGACACCAGTGGGAAGAGACACAACCCAAGCTCCAATAACTAAAGAAGGACGAGCAATACTAGATATAGAAGCACGCAATCAGGCAATAGACATAACATGGGTCAGATCATACCTTGAACTAGGAAAAACCCGCCCACTATGGGCCCTTGTTGCAGACAACATCCTAGCAAAAGCGCTGCCTAAACCGGAGGCCAACACGCCACTAGAAATGAGAATAAATGTATTCCTACAAACATGGAATGTAAAATGGTCAGCAATACCGCCAAGGCTAAGGAAGATGCTCGACACAGCAAAAAAGTGAGGAGTGAGGAGAGAAGGAATCAGCTTTGACAGAGCAATCCTACGAGAGATGCCAATATGGCTGCATGGCGAAGCCAATAAGAAAGCAAAGAGGCTAAAAAACTCACCTGTGAGTGTATGCCTGAGGATAAACCACAACCTGCGAACAGTCGGAGAAGCAGAAGAGATAGCGCGTGAAGCGCAAGACACCAAACATAAACCAAGACGCAACTGCGCCTGCGCAACATGCAAAAAGACATGCCAACAAACAAGGTGCGAGAACCCACAAGCATGCTTCAAGAAAGCACGGGAGCTGCTCGACCAACTCCCAGAAAAATGGGACCCAAGACAACCAAAGCCAGAGGACAACAGAGGGGCGCCGCAGGCACTCAGCGCGCGCAACGCACGCGAAGAAGATGAAGACGACTCCATAATATACTTCAACGAAAACATAACAACAAAAGGGAACATGAGTGATATTTTCCGAATATTCACGAGCGGGGAGACCTGTAACGAGACACACCAGAGACCAGACCCAAGAGGAGATACCACACTGGTGATCATAGCAACGGATGGCTCCTGCTTCAACAATGGAGGCGAAGATGCACGAGCAGGCGCAGGAGGCTATATAGGCCCAGATAACACAACCAACTTGGCGCTCCGAGTACCGGAGCACATAAACCAAACAAATCAAACAGGGGAAGTAATAGCAGCATCCGAAGCGAGCAGAAGGGTTGACAGGGACAGACCCATAAGAATTGTGAGCGACTCACGATATACAATAAATGCGGCCATGAAGCTGAAAGAAAAGCACGAAGCAAGGGGATACATCGGAGTGGAGAACGCACCACTACTGAAAGCCCTCATAGGCAACCTACAACAAAGAAGACATAAAACAAGCTTCCAGTGGGTAAAAGGCCACAAAGGCCACGAGCTAAATGAAGGCGCAGATGCCCTAGCCGAAAGAGGAGCAAAGAAGGAGGTAGCCGACAACATAGACCTAAATGTAGAGAAAACACTGTGTGTTAGCGGGGCCAAGCTGAACATAATGACACAGAAACTGGCATACCAGGGAATCAGAGAAATAACAATGTCCAAATACGAACCCAGGAGACGCACAGAAGACACAATGATATGAGCAGTTGATAACATCGAAGTCTTCTTCGGAGAGACCCCGACGAAGGAGAGGATATGGAAAGGGCTAAGGCACAAAGACATAGACAAGAAGATCAGAAACTTCCTCTGGATGATAATGCACGACGCTTACATGGTAGGAACAAACTGGGATCGACCGGGCTTCAAGGACGAGCTAAGGGCGAGGCAGGACTGCAAAGAATGCGGCCAGATAGAGACTATGGAACACATAATGTCAGAATGTCAAGCACCAGGACAGAAACAAATATGGACGCTGGCAGAAGGACTCTGGAAGAAGAAGAACAAGAAGTGGCCGAGGCCCTCTCTAGGAGCAATACTCAGCAGCCCAATCGCACCTTTCAAATCAAAAAAGGGAAAACCAAAAGTGGGGGACGCACGCCTATATTGCATACTGATGACCGAATCAGCACATCTAATATGGAAAATAAGATGTCAGAGAGTGATAGGAGGAGCGGAAAACCCGAACGCACCAAGAGAAACAGTCGCCGAAATACGAGCGAGGTGGGTAAGGGCAATCAACGACAGATTGAAGATCGACTGCCAGCTCACAAGCGAGAGACGGTACGGAAAAAAGGCCATAAATAAAGGGCTAGTACAGAAGACATGGCAAGGGACCCTAAAGGACGAAGATAGCCTTCCACCAAACTGGATGGAAGGCAAGATTGAGGTTTTAGTGGGTATACGAGCAGTCAGTTAAGGGGACGAGGGCGCACCGGAGACTAGTTGATGCAATGATGGTGCGCCGACTGAACTGCCTCGAGAATTGAGTCCCACACTCAGTGCGTAAAGGCATTTCCTCAAGGTGTTTCAGAAACGGTATGGACTTCTCAACCTATGGGGTTTGAACTCCCCATGACCGTCAGCGGGGTCACTGGAGACGGCTTTGCTGGCTGCCAGGACCCAGCGCCCTTCGGGCGCAACGCTCCACCAAAAATAAAAATAAAAATAAAAAATTAAGATGTTCAATTTTTTCTCGCATGTGGAGTAAAGTCAACGTCGATCCAATGAAGATTGCCGTCTGCGATTGACATCGGTCTCGTTCATTCCCAAAAAGAAAGGCATAACATGTACTGCGTACGCCGGGAATCGAAACCGGGGTTAGGCCACAGGGAACAAGCTGGGAAGACCCAATGTTACCATTACACCACACACGCCTGGCATCAATTAACGGCGTTTCAGAACCGGCTTGGTCGCTCCTCAGCTCCGTGGATCGAATTCTCCGAGTTGGTATCTCTGCCAAAGTTATTTTCCTAGGCAGCCCAGAAATACGACCTTTTGAGGAGTGGAGAGGACGATGGACGCATCTCGAACTCGCCTCTTCAAAGGCATCAGCCGCACGGGCCTCACCCACATATCTAAACTACGAAATCCTGATCTTCTCTACCTCGGTGAGTTCATAGAGGGATTGCGGATGGTTTGGGATGTGTCTTATTTCAGTGTGCGGTGAACACAACGCGTCAACCTGTCGAAAGCGGATGGGCAGAATAATTTACTCGGAAACGATGAGCAGCCGAAATATGATGCAGACTTGCAGTCCGATCACGACTCACAACGATCACTACTTGTCGATCTGCGATCTCGCACCTCCGGAGGCTTCGACTGCCTGGGTGGACATGTAGATAAAAAGAGTGTATGTGACCCGTGCACGGTATACTCTGTCAATGCCAATGGGGCTTGTTCGGGTTGGAGGTAAGGTGGGATCGTGGCCGAGATCTCGGGGCGATCTGCACGTGCCTCAATGTCCTATTGTGGCGACAGCCATCGCCTCGTGTTGAAGCTCAACTTGGACTTGCATTGTTCCTCCGGAACAAAATAAATTCCAAGAAAACAAGCGACGCGCCGCCGCGTGGCCTCCAACCTCACTTATAATCCTCGCCAGGCCTGTTTGCTTTCGGTACGTCCTACTCCTCACAGGATGGCTTCATCCTATATCTCCTCACCTGTTGACAATGAGTCCAGTCGGAATTCCTCGCCTTTAGGCACCCCAGCAGCCTTACTCGGGAGTCTTACTCTCCTTCCTCACACGCCAGTGCCCGACACCGAACCCGACGGTCTACTCCTCGGGGCTTACCATCCATCCGACGGTCCACGCGACCCCGCATCCGAGCCCTCAGTTTGCGCGCACAGTGGCCAAGGGGATCAAACAAACCTTGAGCGTGACGACGCGTCTTCTCCAGCTCCCTCTCGTGAGGCAAGTGCCACCGAACGCGTTGGCTACCAGTCGATTCCGACTTCTGGAGAGTTCGACGGCTTGCTACCTCCTGCAGGCACTCCTGTTCCATCTGTAGCACCCCCTCCCTCCTCTCAGCCGAGCAACCCCCAGCCTTCTTCTGCTGCCCCTGCCCCCCTCCCTTCACCCACTCAACCGCCAAAGTCTGACGACACTCCGTCTACACCAGTAATCGGAAAACCGTCCGCCACTCAAGAGCACTCGTTCAAAGACCCTTCCAACAAGCACGTGCGTCATACGATCCGTATCGGATACGCCATGGAGCTCCAAGGCAGGCTTTCGCACATACCCTTGGATAGATTCATGGCCGAGTTTGTCCCTGGGGGCGATATTCCCCCCGATACCGTCCTAGACACGTTCGATCAGTCGGCGTTCAAACGCGAGGGGCCAGCTATGTACAACAACCTAGTGAGTAAATCAATCAACGCGACATACGAGCTCCTCACTGACTTCGCGGTCGTTGCAGTGCAAGGTGGCCAATTCTGTCTTGAAGAGCGTCGCCGCGGAGGTACCTGCCGTGCTTCCTCGATTCGAGGCGAAGAGCACGCATCAGATGCCCGACCCTACTGACAGGCAGAACGGCAAGGCTAAACGCTGCCCTGATGTCATTTTCTATCCGTACGCCGACAAGTCTGAGAGGCCGTACGCGATTGAGATGAAAGCGTTGAAGAAGAAAACGGAAGAACAAAGGGCGGACTGCGTGGCGACAGAGGCCAGGACGTCATGGCGTTTGGCATCTATGATCCTCGAGGCGAAAGGCAACAAAGCCGACTCCCCGTTTCTTGTTCCCAATGCGGAGCCAGCGGCGCAACCGCAGAGCGATCCTTTGCCACAGATATCAGGACCAAGCGCTCCCCTTTCGTCGTCCCCTCCTCCCACCACCCCAGCTCTCCCTCGGCCAACCCCAGCGGCTCCAACGAAGCCACAACCTGCTGCCGCAAAGCCGAGCACTGACAAGTTCTTCAAGCTGCACACGGAGAAGGGTCAGCAAACGATGGGTCAGATGGCCGAATACGTGTCCAGGGTCTTGGAGAGCCAGTTCATCCAATTCTTTTTCACCATCTTCATCTGCTGTAAACACGCTTGGCTACTCCGGTGGGACCGCGCAGGGGTGGTCGTCTCCGACCCCTTCAATTTCTTTGACCAGCCGCAGCTACTCCATCGCTTCATCTATCGCTTCGCTCGCCTCGACAATGTTCAAAGGGGACGTGATCTCACCGTCAATCTCGCGAGCCAGGACGAGATCCAACTCGTGCGCTCCTTCAACGGCCCACTGACTCCCTGGCAGCAAGAGCAGTTCAAGGCTGCCTTCCCGTCGGATGGTCCTGTGTACAGAGTCGACGTGCCACAAGACGACGTCATCTCTGCTGCTGACCTCAAGGCGGGCGAGAAAGTGCCGCGAAACCACGCAAACCCGTCAGGGGCACCGGACGAGCAGACACGCCAGTTCCTCGTCGGGAAGCCTTACTTCACTGGCCACTCAGTAGTCGGGAGGGGCACACGCGGGCACATCGCGTATGACGTCTCTGGCAATCGTCTCGTCTTCTGCAAGGAGTACTGGCGCTTGGACAAGCCGTCGCACCATCCTGAAGGAGAGACGCTCATGCGTCTCCACAGCAAGGGTGTCCAGTTCATTGCTACGCCGATTGTCGCAGGGGATGTTCGCCATGGAGGCAGGGTCCACTGTACGCGCTCGCAGGCCTTCCGCACACGCCCAGGGGCGAAGTACATTCAATATCGCATCATTGTGCTAGAAGTCGGGGAGCCTCTGAAGAACTACGAAGACTCGTATGAGCTAGTAGACGTCATGTATGGCGCCTTGACAGGTCCGTTGTCCGATTATGTTGTCTGATCACATGTTGACGCAAAGTCATAGCGCACGAGCAAGCATGGAAACGTGCCCACACCCTGCACCGAGATATCAGCCCGAATAACATACTCATCTATCGATACTTCGATAGCGCGGGCGAACTGGTGCAGCAGGCGCTGCTGATTGACTGGGGATTGTGCAAACTTATGGAAGAACTTGCACAAATGGCCTCCCAAGAAGCTCGTTCTGTGAGTTACTGGTTGTTCCCAAAGATCAGACCGATACTCACTTCTGCGCAGGGCACCTGGCAGTTCATATCCGCCGTGATCCTTGCATTTCCGGGTCGCTTCAAGTATGAAGTATGGCACGACCTGGAAGCCTTCATACATGTCCTCCATTGGATGTGTTTCCGCTTCCATTTGACCAATTATTCGTACAGCGCTGCGAAGTTCGCCCGCAAGGTCAAACACCTGTACGACGACTGCATTTTCGAGAATGGTGAATCTCTCGGCGGCGAGGACAAACTCAATTTTCTGTTAGCGGGCACCGTCCCGTTCAACCTTGTTGAGGGTTCATCGATCCCTCAACCAGGCAAGCCCCATGGACTCCATCAGCTCCTGACAGCACTCGCCAGTCTGTACGGCGAACACTACCGGTTGCTGAAGCCGACACTTGTTCCGCAGGAGCCGACACCTGTTTCACCGAGGGCGGCGGTCCCTACGCAGGTGAAGAAGAAGTTAAAACATCTCAAACCAGGGAATACACGCGTGACAGCGCGTGCGAAACAACTTATGCTCGCACTGCCTACTCCGCCCGACACGGCTACTCCACGCGATACGGCGATGCTACACGAGCCAGAACTGTCTGCCTCGCCATTCACTCACGACGAGATCCTTTCTCTCTTCTCCATCGCCTTGGGCCAGAGTGATGAATCGTGGACCTTTGACGACAAGCAAGACGATCAATTCGAGAAGTTCAAGAACGAACTGGGAAAGAGGGGGAATTCCGCTTCGGGTTTACCGCGTGGATCCAAACGAAGTTCCGAGGACTCATTGGAGGGCAGCTCGGCGAAACGCACTCGAACATCTGATATCAGTGTCTACTCGACGATCGCGACAGGCACTCCTCAACTGGCGGCGATCATGGAGAACGCGGAGGAGGCATTTGAGGGCTGAGCGCTGAGGGCTTCTGCAAATCGGTATCTTTTCCCTACTGTGACCTCGAATGTACATCGTATGTCTATCTTCCACACTTCCGAAAGACCTAGTATTATCTGCATGTGCGAGGTATATAGCGTCTCGATCATCACGGCGATGCCTGCTGCGTTGTATCACGTCTTGATGGGTCGCTTTCAATAGCATTCCAAGACTCCTCGAATGCACCTGAAGTCGCGCGAGGTTCAGCCTATGATGAACACACACGAGAGTGACATATCCTAGCACATGGAACCCTGTATTAATATTACCGTTACTTTGACCGTCACTAAGACATAGCATACTACGCCTTCTGCGATGCAATCCGGTCTACGCTCTGGCGCACCTTCCCGAATCGCGCCGTCCACGTAGAGTGTCGCAGGATTGGTTGGCAGTCAGAGTGTCGAAGTCGCAGCCGCCCCTCCTAGACCTAGCCTGGGCTGCTGCGGTATACGCAGCGATCGGTCACTGCAATAGCGCATCGGCTCGAACGATCGCTATATTAGAGATATGTCTTTAGCCGTTGGCTCGCACAAGACGCACGCTATACAGTTCTGCACCCGGAGAATCGGGGTTCGATCTACGCAGGGGTGTGATGAAGTCTATCTCACTGTAAGCATACAGTACATGGGGGATCAATGCCTGCCGCGCCGTGCAGCCCAGCGGGAATTCCGCCCACCTCGTCGGAAGGACTCGTCCCCATCGCCAGGGTAGATGTCCTCCTGAGACGGCAGCGGACCGTTCTGGCGCCCGATGACCCCCATCGAAGGACCATCTGATGCGCCGAACCCAGGGATAAAGTCGTCGCTGCCGTCCTGCGCGCCGCGCCGAGTGGCATACGCGTCGGGAAGGCCTGGGTGCTGCTGCATCGCGCCGTCCCCGTCCCCGTCCTCGTCCTTGCCCCACTAGCCCACTCCGCCC